ACTTTATCATAGAAGATCAGATTGGTCAGGCAGCACCTGCCTTTTGTGAACCCATGCTGGCTGGACCTGGTTGTCCCACACATGCCATGTGATTTCCCTCCAGATGACCTGCTCCATAACCTTTCCTGGCATCGAGGTTAAGCTAACAGGCCTGTAGTTTCCCGGATCCTTCTTGTAGATAGAAGCCTCATTGGCAAGCCTCCAATCCTCTGAGATCTCTCTGGTTGACCAGAAGTGCTGATATATTGTAGAAAGTAGCTTTGCAACCACCTCTGCCAGCTCCCCCAGCACTCTCAGGTGGATCTCATCCTGCCCCATGGACTTGTGGCAGTCAAGGTGGAGTAGTAGGTGTCTAATTCTTTCTGCCCGAATCATGAAGGATTTATTCTGCTCCCTGTCCAAGACTTCCAGGTCAGGAGGTGGAGTACCCCAAGGGGTGGTCAGGCACTGGAATGGGCTGCCCAGGGAGGTGATGGTGTCACTGACCCTGGAGGCGTTCAAGGAACGTTTGGACATTGTGTTGAGGGACATGGTAGCAGTTTTGCTGTGTCTCCTGCTGACATCACCAACGATTGAGAGCTCTACCGTTTCATGATCACTCTATCCAAGACAGCTCCCAACCTACACATCAGTTCTTCTCTGCTTGTGAACAGCAGATCTAGCGGGGCTCCTCCCCTGGTAGTCTCTCTTACCACCTGTGTCAGGAAGTTATCTTCCATACACTCTAGAAACCTCCTAGACTGCTTCATCTGTGCTGTGTTGTATTTCCAGCATAAATCAGGGAAATTGAAGTCCCCCATGAGAGCAAGGGCATGTGAAATCATGCAACTTCTGCCAGCTGCTCATGGGATGCCTCATCTGTCCCTTCATCCTGGTTAGACGATCTATCGCATACCCTCACCATGATTTCCACTTTTTTGGCCCTCCCCCTGTTCCTTACCCATAACTTAAGAAGTGTGGGATAAAAGAGTGAACAGGTTCATTGTGAACATGCTGAATGGCAGAGGTCAGAGTGTTGTGATCAGTGTAACAGAGTCCAGATGGAAGCCTGTAACTAGTATGACCGTAACTATAACTACCCCAAGGGTTGCTACTGGGTCCAGTCTTGTTCAACATCTTCATCAGTGAAGGGATAGAGTCCACTCTCAGCAAGTTTGCTGATGATACAAAGCTGGGAGGAGGCTGCCTGTACTGAAGGCTATGCTGCCGTTCAGCAAGACCTGGACAGGCAGGAGTCTGATGAGATTCCACAAGAGCGAGCATAGAGTCCTACGCCTGGAGAGAAATAACTGCATACATCAGTCTAGGTTAGGGGACCTGCTGGAGAGAAGCACTGAAGGGAAGGACCTGGGTGTTCTGGTAGACAACAGGTTGGCCATGAGCCAGCAGTGTGCCCTTGTGGCCAAAAAGGCCAGTGGTATCCTGGGGTGCATTAAAAAGAGGATGGCCAGCAGGTCAAGGGAGATAATCTTCCCTCTCTACATTGCACTGGTGAGGTCACATGTGGAATACTGTGTCCAGTTCTGGCATCCTCAGTTCAAGAAAGACAGGAAATTTCAAGAGAGAGTCTAGCAGAAGGTGACAAAGATTATTAGATGCTGCAACATTTCCCTTATGAGGAAAGGCTGAGAGATCTGGGACTGTTAAGCCTGAAGAAAAGATTGAGAGGGGATTTTATCAATGTTCATAAATATCTAAAGGGTGGGAGCCAGGTGGATGGGGCCAAGATCTCTTCAGCAGTGCCCAGTAACAGAGCAAGGGCCAATGGACACAAAGCGGAACCTGCTTTAGCAGGAGGATTGGACTAGATGATTCTCCAGAAGTATCTTTAAACCTCTACAATTCTGTGACTTGGACAAGCAGAAACCAATGCTATCTTCTGTGGCCTCATAGGCACTCTGGTGGGCTGTTTTTCTGCAGCAATCCAGGTCTGCTGAACCAGCTGCTGTTGCTGTAAATCAGCTTTCTGCTATTCAGTTGTGGCAGATGCTAACCCATGAATCTCTTGGGCTGATAATTGGCCTACTGATTGCAGCCCGGTTTGCAACACCTGAAAATCTATTACATTCAGGGCAGATATGCCCAGACCTAACATTCCTTATATGTCTACTCACCTCCAAGGAGCACATGGCTTAAGGTAAAGAGCAGATAAGGGATATGTATACATTTGTACATACTAATATTGCAGTTCCAGAAGGTAAGGTACTCTCTCAGCATTTTCCCATATAAAAATGGCTGTAGTTAGATGATCAAACGCTATGGGTGTAGTAGCATTAGCTTGTTTGCATTCCCAGTTGTACCCACTGTTGGTTTGGATCTATGAAGATGTATTGCATATCATTAATCAAATATACTTGTCCATGTTTAGTACACAGATTACAAAAATAATTTAAGGGACTACAGCTACTGCAAGAGAGGTTTAATGCTATCATAATTGACCATGCCTCAGGGAATACTGTTACCATTGTGATATCATCTGCCCAGTGCTATGTGGTACCACCTTTTACTTTCTGTAAAGTCCTGTTCTCTATCACCTTCACAATGAGGGCTTAAGTTTTGACCTTAAACACCTACCAACCATTGGGTGCCACTCGTGGTTCTATGTATGCTTAAATATTTAGCCACCACCACAGGGTCCATTTTCCCAAATGACCTTCGACACAGAGACAACATTATGCTGAGACCTAGCAGAATCAAAGAATTATATAGGTTCAGAGGGACTTCTGGGAGTCATCTGGCCCGTCCCCATTGCTCAAGTAGTCTATCTAGCTAGAGCTGCTTGTCCAGAACCATGTCCAGATATCTTTTGAAAAGAATAGTTAGTTATCAGAAGTGGGTTGCCAGGCAGCTGTGACTTTGAACATTGGTGTAGCTTACAGATAATCAGCAGATGTTGCTACAGATTAATGAAGTGGTGAGACTTGCCAAACAGGACATCGGCATACAAATTTTCTTTTAAAAAAAAAAATAATAATAAGTATATATATACATATATATATACACACATTTCTTTTGAAGAAGAGAAGGCTGAGAGGTGACCTCATTGGTTCCTGCAACTTCCTGGGGAGGGGAAGTGGTGAAGGAAGCACCAATCTCTGTGTCCAGCTCACAAATGACAGGACATGCCGGAACAGCACAAAGCTGAGCCAGGGGAGGTTTAAACTAGACATTAGTAAAAAATTATTTACTGTGCGAATGGTCAAACATTGGAAAAGGCCTTCCAGTAAGGTGGTTGATGCCCTAAGCCTGTCATTGCTCAATATACATTTGGACAATGCCTTCAATAGCATGCTTTAACATTTGGTCAGCCCTGAACTGATCAGGCAGTTGGAGTAGGTGATCCCTGTAGGTCCCTTCCAATGATCTATTCTATTCTATTCTATTCTATTCTATTCTATTCTATTCTATTCTATTCTATTCTATTCTATTCTATTCTATTCTATTCTATTCTATTCTATTCATTGTAGGAAATATTTGGGGACATAAACAAATAATTCCAAAATTAAAAAAATGTAGCCCCTGATGCTTGGGCTAGGTTCTTAGCAAGGAGTAGTTTGCCTGATGGAGGCTGGCATTAAAAGGACTGTCTATCTTGTGCCAAAATTCATTGCTGTTCAGCTTCAGTCAAAACTCTGGTTGGCATTTCTCTGTGGCTATACCCTAACAATAAAAAGTGTATGACTGGACCCTCACCTTATTATTCAAATCCATTTCTCTGTGTGTCAACACTTGGCCAACTCTGCAATGTCTGGGCAGGAGAAAGTCTTCACAGTTATCCTTTTAGTAAGGTGTTGTGTGCTCTGCTAAACCAGCTCCCCGAGGATAACAAGGTGTATGATAAATCCCTGAAACCTTGTTTTCAGTAGCCTACTGCTGGACCATGTGTCACATGAAATGGGAATCATTATCTGATGGGACAGAAGAGGGAATACCTAGCCATTGGTTTGACAAGCAAGGCCCTTTAGAATGGCTTTTTGGTCAGCCTGAGTAGAAGGCAGTACAGCCAGGTAATCAGTACTCATATCTACCATTGCCAGCACATATTGCAAATACTAACTTTCAGGGAATAGTCCAATCTGCCAGATATGGCCTGAGGCCAGCTGTTCCTCCATCCTTTCTTTGGACTCTTGTGGCAATTTTCTTGTTTTATTTATTTGCAGGTTTAGATTCTTTCTCCACTGAAGGAGAGGAGCAGAGGTTGCAATCATTTTGTCCATCATTGTGGTTGTTTACCTTCATAGCTGATTTTCCTCTTTCAGTTGCTTGCATATTTCCCATAAATGAGGATAAGTTTTCTGCCAATTCATTGGTAGTTTTTTTGGGTGTTTGGGATTGTTTTGGTTTTTTTTGTTCTTTGAGGTTTTTTTTTGTACTCCAACCTCAAATAAAGCTATGATCATCTCCTTTTGGGTATCCTTTTTCTTTTGTATCTTATACACAGGGCACAATCACCTGTTTTTCTTTTCGACTTGATATTCACTTAATTGCCTCAACATTAAAATTACATCATGGACTAGTTTCCTCTAGGGCAACTCCTGCAAATGATAAAATGACTCACTTCTCTTTAAAGGTGTCTCTGCTAACAATCCAGATTGTATTCCTGATGTAAATAACCCTAAGTTGGTGCTAGGCAGGGCTGTAGACACTCAGTTAAACAGCCGATTGTCTCAAATATTGTCCCCTTCCATCTATATGCTTCCAGGTCACCTCTTAATCATCCCAGCCATATGGAGAGAGGCACTCTAACTTTACCCTCTCCCATAACTAATCCCAAGGAGAATAAAACACATTTCCCTGGGCCCCTTTTGGCTTTGGGAAACTGTGGCTGGCCACAGTTGGATGCTTCTTCCTTGGTCCCACACTAGCAGTGTGGGGACTAGCAGTAGCCATTGCCCTTTCCCTTCCCTGAGCTTTAACAAATACAGAAAACATCCTTTCTTTTCTTTCTGACAGATCTGTTCTTTTCTTCTAGTTTTTTGTGTCTACTACTCTGTCCCTGGAGATGTTCAAGACCAGATTGGATGGGGCCCTGGGCAACCCGGTCTAGTGACAGATCTGGAAGTTTGTGCACCTGCCTGTGACATGGGGGTTGGAACTTGATGGTCCTTGGGACTCCTTCCAATCCAAGCTATTCTATGATTCTATAATACTATTGACTAGATTGAAGCCCAAAGAGTGGAGTTGCTTTTATATAGTTTCCACTAAGGGGACATACAGAGGACATACAGTTACAGTCATTAGCATTGCTCTAAATAAATAAAAGGCAGGACAGAATTTTGCTTTCACAAAAAAAAAAAAAATGTATTTTATCCCTGAAATGATAGCATTAAAATCTTCTCACAGGGGGGCTGGAGAGTGTAACAATGATGATAAAAATTTGCTTTGATATGCTATTTGTCTTTTGAAGGGAGCCAGGTGGATCTGCTTGTGCACGAAGTCCTGTGATTACCCATGGACACAGAACAGGCACATGCATCTCCCAGGCACACTGGGGATGTGTCTGGTGTGAATGATCACCCACTGACAACTTGCTTCTCTAGTCCTGACACTCCCAAGACCTGGAGAAAAGCAGCTGAGCAATGTGTGGAAATCTCAGAGGCTGCAGAGAGGAACCCAAATCCCAGCCTTGTGGTTGCAGGCCATTCAAAGCCCTAAGCAAGCACATGCAAATGTTCAAGTGGATAACTGATGCTTTTGGTACTTGTCTGTCTCTAAGGCCCCTTGGTAACCCACTTTTGGAAGGCCTCCCATATCCTGCTTCCTCTCAGCTGAAGCATCTGTTTCCTAATAACTGCTCTCCTTCATGGCCAATTTTCCAGCCAGTTGGTGTTTTGCTGCTTTCACTTAAGATCTCCATTCAAAACTGAACCAGGAACTGGAGCAGTGTTGAGGGGAGAAAAGTATTTAAAGAGCAGCGCTAATTTCATGCACACAGACACAGTCCTCTGTGGCACTAGTATTAGAAAAGGAAAAGTAAAGGAGGGGAAAAGGCTGCAGAGATTCCCCTCAGCTTACCTAAAAATCCAGAGGCAGATTTCCCTTTGTGTTCTGTGTGATTTTTCTAACGCTGCCTCTATGTAGTAACAGCTTTTTCTTCTGTGGGAAGGGAAGCGTGCCTGTTGAAGTCTGCAGGAGCCTGACTGTCTTCTGTGCTTGCTTTTGCATTCACCTCCCGCACAGCTCCCAGAGGCTCCGTGCCTCATGCTGGCAATCCATTCAGTGGCAGGCCAGAGGTACGAGCTAGCAGCACTTCCTGCGGGTTGGGAAATCACTGCTGGGGCTTGGGGGCTGCAAGCAGCACCGCTGCACTCAGCCAGGCAGAAATCTGCCCACCCTTCCCATTGGGTGGCATGTGCGTTGCTGATATGCCAAGGGAATGATTAGTGATCCAGCATTCTCCCTGTTGCAAAACGTCCATCAGCAGGCTGCAAGCATCTCACGTTTATGTCTCCTAGCTTTTACTTCTTAATGAATGAGTTTCACCGGGAGGCACTGTGAAAATTCCACATCTGAATCAGTATTTGCGTTCGTATTGGCACATTTCCTAAGGAACCTGCAATCATTTATGCTGCTTTATTGGCTACCTGCTGTAGCTAATTAACAACATGAATTAGCAGGGAACAATCCCAAATTCAATTTCTGGAAAAGTACCTAGCTCACCTATTTTTTTCCCCAAGATTGAAAGATAGCAAATCACAAACACGGCACAATATGTCCGATGCATGCAATGTAACCGCGCGATGCACATGTACAAAATACAAAGCTAAGCATTATCACAGATAAGAGCTTACTGACATTAATCCGCTTCAAATCATTGTCCAAACTACTTCAGAGTCAAGCATGCATTCAGTGACCTTGCAGAATATGCAGTTCCTTGGCTGGCACTACACAGACATCTCCTGAAATAAATGATGAACACAGTTTTGTCAATTACACATGTGAGAAAGGTGTGTTAGAGAGGCACCCAGGTGAACCCACACAGCAAAGAATAGAGGAAAGCATCATACCGCTTACTTCTTCTGGCACAGAAAGAGTAGGAAGACTAATTAGCAATTACTGAGGCAAGCCGTTCGTGTCAGGGCTGCTCCTGAGGAAGGTCCTGCAGCTGGGGGAGCCATAAGGAGCAGCCCGGGGACCAGAGGTCACAGTCAGAGGCACGCTCAGCTGAGCAGGAGGGAGCCCCATGGCCCTGGGGGAGCTAAGTACCCAGGGGATGGCCAGAGGGTGGGATGCCGTGACCAGCATGTCACGGTCCTGGGCAGACTCTGTGTTAAAAGCATCTCTGCCAGTGCCTTGGAAACGACCGAGGATTGAAAGCATCAAAGAAATAAAGCTGTTGCCAGCTGGAGGAACAATAGGCAAGCAGAGCTCTCTTTAGCCCAGGGGATTAAATTCAAATTGCAAATGTGAAGGCTGCCCTGCAAGGAAAGGCCTCACTGTGTATGGAGCACTAAGCACAGCCCAGCACCCGCAGACCTGGCTCATCCCCTGGCTCTGCAAGAAGAGAAGAGGAAAGGAAGGAGGAAAGGAAGGAAGGGAGGAACAGAGGGAGGGAGGAAGGAAGGGAAGGAGGGAGGAAGAGAGAGTACGTCCTAAAATGATGCCACTGTCCTCACACAGACCTCTGAATTGACAGTGCTGATTTCAAAAGCCACTGAACTTGTGATCCCTTTGGTAGCAGCCAGTGTAACAGTCCTGGAGGAAAGTGTGTGCTGCAATTGCCCGTAGGCCTGCCTGGGTGCTGCCCCCAAAAAGGGCACAATACCCAGTTCAATAAGAGATGATAATAAGCTTTAAACCCAGCTCCTGCGAGCATCACACTGGTAGAAGTAACCCGCTGTGCTGAGGGAGCTGGAAGTTAGGGACTGCAGGCACGGCAAAAGGAGAGCATACGCGGCTTTCTCCTGATAACTTGCTTAATGAATTGCAGACTTCTAAGCTGATTTGTTCAGCTGGGGAAATCCCACAAACATCTCACACCCGAGCGCTCGGAAATTGGTTTAATAGTCTCAGTGCCCGTAATGAAACGCCGCCACAGAGCAGAGGTCCCAGGGCTCGCCCCACGTGCGGCTGCATGCCATAGCAGCCAGCATCCCTCTGATTTCACTGCGTGCTTGAAGGAGGCTTTTTTAGAGTCCCAATAACCATTTTTAACGGCAGCATAAATAATGGCTGCAGATCAGCTGTGCAGCCGTCCGGTGTGCAAGGCTTGCCAGTAGTGCTTTGATTTTTAACTCTGCGCTGCAGTCATCTGTGCTTTTATGTTTGCTGTTTCATTTTTAAGCAGCCATTTAGCAGTATCTGGAGGGCATTTGCTCTTCTAATACTCAGCCCGAATACACGTGAAGGGAAGAGCTTTCACAAGCGACTGAGCTCTTTTAGGAAATGGGAGAAAATCGTGCTCCATCGCTGTGGGATGTGAGGAGAGAGGTGCTGCAGCCCCCTGCTGCTGCCGCCCTCTGAGGGTCAGGGCAGGAGTGCTGACGCACAGGGGGTTAATGGGAAGTTACAACTGCAGCAGTTAAAATTCACGAGGTGTAAAATACAAATTGCACGTGGTAGATGAGCTGCCTTTAAAGTTTATGTGTTATTTTCCCCCTCGCCCCGGTTCAAAGTGCTGTTGGCCCATGAGATGGAGGGCTTATAGAAGGGGATGAGCAGCCTTCATGGGGCACAGATTACACGGGGGGACGGGGAGACATCCGGAATGCAATTACAGATGTTGGGCTGCAGGAAGCTGGGGAACCCACATCATGTGCATGCATGGACAATCACAGAGCAGAATTAATGGCTCACATTCATTTCTTCCTCTCCTCAGCCTCCTCAGTTTTAAGGATATGAAGTACTGCCTTTGAAGTTTATGCTCTTTTGTTTGATTATTCCCACAGCTTAATGTAAGTAATTTTCCTACCAACAAAAGAAAAACAACAGCAAAACATTTTTAATAGCTCCCAAGGCAATAAAGGTTCTGTGCTTTTTTTTTTTTACAACTAACTCCGATCCCATCTTTTATGTGCACCTTATGACTTGGCACACCAACATCTCCCAGAACCAAGCTGTTTGCAGTTTTGCTCACACTGCTCCCTTTCCCCTCAATACCACTCCTTTCTCCATGCTAGAGAGATAAGGAGTGAGAATCCAACCGTATGGAATCAGCACTCCCATCTGCAAGGTTTTTTCCACACCCCAGCCAACCCTGTGTGTTCTCACCCAGAAGTCACTCCCTGAGGGGATTTTCTTTACACAATTATTCATGCACCCAAGAAGGAGCTGGGATCTGAGATTCGATACAGAAAAAAATATATGTAAATATCCAGAGCAACTAAAATGAGCATCAGCTTATACGTATCTGGATGGATTGAACACAGACAATGATTGAGAATAGGTTGCGCTGAGAGAGGAAATTTAAATTTCTATCCTAAACACTTTCTTTGCATTTCTTGAAATAAATTATTCCCAGCAATTGCAGGCAGAGATTGTTGATTAATTCCAGCAAAGGCAGAGAGATGGGAAAAATTACCGCGTATCGTCTGTTCCTGAGTTTCAAACGTGGGGCTTTTCATTTTTCTTTGCTGTCTCTGCGACTGGGCTTTTCGGCTCCAGAGTGATCTGTGGGTGGTTTGCAGGGGAGTGTGCTGCTCACGTCATGTGGACAGATATAGACAGCAAAGCACCGTCACGTGTACCAGATGAGTAGGAAGCGCTTTTCACCCAGAAGAGTTGAAATGCAGGCTGCGACCCAGCCAGCAGGCACTGAGGCAGCAGCACAGATGCCCTGGAGACTGCCACCTCCCAGAGCCCCTACAGGGAGGGACTGGTGCCAGGGCCGCTTGCACCCTGAGCCCTCTGAGCCGCTGGCAGCAGCAGCAAGCACCAGGAGGAGCGGCTGCAGGGAGGATGCCGTCACGGCTGGTTGAGCCCTGGCTGACAGAAAAGCCCCAGGGCCACTGGCAGCTGGGCATAAATTAGAGCTGTGGTGAAGCCGCTTTTGCTTCTCCGTGGGCACTGGTCCAGCTCCAGCTGCCTCAGAACAGTGAAAGGCCTTGGAGCAGCCCGTCCTCCTCACCCCGCACCACCTCAGCCTTCCTCCTGCCAGCTGAAGCAGGCCCCACTGTCCTGCTGGAGCAAACTGCAGCGGGCTGTGCCGGCGTTCCCTTGGATTGGAGGGGCCTCAGCATCACACAGGGTCTCGATGTCAAGTGAGGCACCGTGGTTCTCTCGGTATGAGCTTGGTGAGGGAGCTGTGGAAACTGTCCACACAGCAACAGAGAAAGGTGCTTTGTAATTCTCTTTCAAGCCTCAGGACTGGGAGCTGAGCCTTGCATGCTCTCTGAAGCTCTGCGAGCAGCTGTGCTGCAACGCACATTAAGAAAGAATGCAATGGCTGAAAAAAAGCTGTCATGCGGGCTAATCCCTCTGATGCCAAGAGAAAGTCTGCACTGGGCCTCATGTGGCCGCTGCCTGTGTGCCCTGTGCCCTGAGGCGTCCAGCTGAGACACACCGCAGCTGCAGTGTACCCACTCCCTCTGCTAGGGGATTTTCTCACATGCCAGCCCAAGCCCAAATTAGCCTTGTGTGGTCCAGGCAGGCCCTCAGTGCTCAGCGCAAAGCCAAGCATGCCAAACTACTCCTCACAAGGGCAGCCAAAAGCCACACGCCTCGCTGGGGGATGTATCCTGCTGGAGAAGCACACTGAGGCTGCCTGCAGCACAGCTCGACCCAGCAGCACACCGAGGCAGCTCTTCAAATTGCTTCCAGGCACAAGTGACAGCCACACCGAGGCTTTGCAGTACAAGGGTTTCTCCCTTCAGAGTGACCTCCGTCACCAGGACAGCACAGGGCTCCCACACTTCACACAGCAGAGGGTACTCAGCAGCAGTCAGTCAACTGCTCCTCAGCATCAGCAGGGTCAAACACTATCAGCACCGGGTTTAAGAAAAACAAAAGACTATTAAACCACTAGCAGAGCCTATAGGGAAAGAGCCTTTCTGGTTCAGGATACACAGGGGGGTTTTAAACCCAGGCTTAGGAATAAAAAGCAAAAAGAGGTTGCTGGGAGGCAGCGCCTTTCTAGCAACCTGCAATGGAGTGACCACCTGAGGTTAATCCAGGCAGAGTGGGTGGCAGGCATAAGGATTGCTTGATTGAAGGGGATGGACCAGCTGAATAAGGGATTTATTTGTGAGAAGGGCAGAAAAGGAGGGCTGGAGGAGCAGGCAACTTGGTGGCAAGCCTTTTCACAGCAAGTGATTAACTGCAGTTTCTAATAAGCAGAGGGAGACTAAAGCTGGCTGCCTTTTTAAAGTCATTTTGATAACGCTGGCCTTGATGCAATAAGCTATTTGTTTGTGCCTGCCGGCAGGGACAACAAACCACAGCAGGCACAATCCTGCAGCTCCACACATCAGCCCCTCCGGAGGTGTCAGCCACAGCATCTGAGGGGCCCGGATCGTGCCGCAGCATCACTATTGACACGCCTGGTGCTCTTTTGTGCTCTTTCTCTCACCCTGCCCTCTCCTCACCCCGTTGCCCCCTCAGGCCGGGGGCAGGCTGCTCGCCTGTCGCCCGCGGCCAGGAATCCCCAGATGACCTCCGCCTTGCTTCTCTGCCAGTTCACTGAGCCGCCCGTCCCGATGAGCATCACTGCTAGCCAACAGATCAGGCAGGGGGGCTGAGCGCCAGGGGCCACAGGGACAGGTGGTGGGCTGGACCCCCCGCCCTAGATATTTTAGGAGCTTTCCTGATCGTTGGCAGCAAGGAAGGCTGCTGGGAATGAGTGCTTCTCTGATGGCTTTGTCGAGTGCACGCTCTGACCTAAAATAGCATGAAAGCACCACACTGCAGCGCAATTAAATGCAGCCCGGAGAACAGCCCTGAACTCTCCGCCCCAGCCGAGCCCTCTCGACCAGAAACACAGTGTTCTGCTAAAGCCGCACATTCACAAAGCAGCTCCGCTTCCCTGCCAGCCCTCTTGTGAGCTCCTTCGATGCTGAATCATTCTTTTTCTATTGGTGCTGCAGATCACTCACGACCTCAGAAATCCCACGGCCCCTTCGCATTTCTCATCATGTCAGAGCCATGACCTGCCAGCACCACCAGGAAACTGCTGGTAGGACTGGGGTGCCTGCAGGCAGGGAGACACTACCTGTCCCTCCTCAGGGCCACAGATGACAAGGCTGCTGGTGTTTGCCAGAAACCCCGATGCTGGATCACAGAGTTGCAGTAGGCTATTTTTATTAGATTATTTTACTAATCATTATTTATATTGCCAGAATTCCTTCTCCCAGGAGTTTCTGCAGCCCTCACCTTTGGGTACGAGCCATCTTCTTTCATGAATTGATACCCACATCCCATGATGCAAAACAGAAAGTCAACTGCTTGCATGCTTCTCAATTCCAAACCTGCTGAAAGCATGCAAATACACACCACACCTCTCTCTTTGAATGCACAGTGCATGATCTGCCTGGAGACACAAGCATACACAAACACAAGTGATTTCTGTGCAGAGTTGCCCACATGTCCCTCTCTTGTTCCAGCTGGCAGATTGCTCCTCTTACACCTCCACCGTGCGAAGAGGTGGATCCAAATGGGCCTGCTGAGGGCTGCTACCTTGAGGCAAGGTGACTGTGTCTACCCCACAGGCTTGAGGCAGGTGGAACATCAGGGCCATGGGAGATTTGTGCTGTTAAAAGCAACTAAAAAGTAGGTTTGGGTTCAGCACCACCCGATGCCATCTGTGGCTGGGGAGCGAAGCACAGCTGATGCTGTGCTGGGTGTGAGACCTTGCAGTGGAATTACCAACGTCACCGAGCTTCCACAACGTAGATATAAAAAGTCTGCCTGACAGCTGCTGGGCCCCCACCCTTTTCCTTTGCATGAACTCATGGTTCCTGCTAACATCCCCAGATTATGGAAGGCCTGGCTGGAAGGGAGCAGCTGTTCCGCAAGCAGCAGCAAAAGCTCTTTACCATCCCATCCAAAGAGCTCCCAGGGCCACTGCTGGCTGACAGCAGGGGTCAGGTGAGGAACGGACATCCCCCACCGAAGAAAAGTGGTCCCCTCCCAACTCTCATTAACAGCGTCCCACTCCTATGGTTATTAAAATGAAGCAGAACAATACAGGCTGAAGTAACATGTTTATCCATATAGCTGTGGAGAACAACATCATAAAAATAACAAGCAAGCTTGTTCCTCCAGTCGTGCCTCCCTTCCTCTCAGTGAAAGATCCTCACTTCAAAGGGAAAATGCAAGTCCCGCCCCCCCTTTCTGCATTATTTTTTCCCCTGAAAATGTTTTTCCTCCACGTTTCCAAAGCATTGCCCAATTAATTACTTCTAGACAGCGTCTCGCAGCACGGCTGAGCAATAACATACAGATCCTTGTGGCTCACATGCTGGTGGCTTAAAAAAAAAATGACTTTTAATCAGCTGAATGAGCACAGGGGCAAAGCCTATTGAACTCCAGCAAAGCAGAAAGCTGGGAGCAGCACCAAGAGCAGCGGTTTCTGCGTGCTCAGCCTGGCTGAGGCAGGATCCTTCTCCCCAGCAGACTCCTCGATTAGGATCTGGAAGGAGCTGTCTCTCGCACGCTGCATCACATCCCTGGCTGCTCATCACGCAGCAAAACAGTTTGTGAAACATCACGGCTCGCTCCCTCGCCCACTCTCCTTTTTAAAGCCCTGTTCTTCAAGCCGAGTGATTCCAATGAAAGTAATTGTCGTGTGCTCTCCCTCCCCTACCAGCACAAGAAAAAGTGCAGCAGAACTTCAGCTTTACCCACAAATACACAAAGCAGAAGTTGTGCTTGTCCTCCAGTATCCCTGCTGCTTTTTCATTACGACCATTTTGGTACCAGAGCTTTTACTCCCTGTACAGCATGCATATCATCATGCTCGCTATTTGCTATCGCAACCTCAGTAACACAGGAGTAATAACAATTCCCACTCCATTTTCTGGTCCTGTTTCTAAACAGGATTGATGGAGTCTTCTATGCAGCACGCAGCAGTCTGTGCCCACCTTCCCTTGAGGTCTCACACATTAAGCTCACTTAACATCACCTTACTACACACTTTGGCACCTTTTCTCCTAACCAGAACCTGCCATCAGCAGCCATCTCTCTCCTCTGTGTGCCTGTCTTGCTCTTGTTAGAAAGCTTTGATTTTTACACATATTTAAGTTCAGGCCTAATTTACTAATATTCTGACAATTAGTAACACACCTCTCACTCAGAAAATGCCTCAGAGCACTTTACAATTTTACTCGCAGATTGCATCTTCTTTAATCTGACCACTGAAATATTTACTGTCCTGAATTGTTAGGAATTCTATACTTGGAGTGAATACTCCAGATCCTTTCACAAAAAAAAAAAAAAAAAAATTGCCCTTTCCTTGCTAAAATTTCAAAGCAAGCATTGATCCACACGTAGGTTGAAGATGACCGGATTGTGAAGACATCATTATGTTTTCTTCCTCTCAAAATCTTAAGTAAACTTTCCAAGCAGCTTCAGAAAAAAAGTTTAACCAGATCCTCTGATTGCCAGAGAATCACCTGGCCCACACATCAAGCATTGCCTCCAGGGTGTAATGCAGCGTGTTATGCAAAATTAATTGGTTTTGCACA